CTATTAGTGTATTAGGGTATGTACATTACAGGTGTGTATCTGTTGGAAAATGAGTCGTATTTTAATGAATCAGTATACAATACACTCAATTGTTGGTTTATATTTGCTTCTCAGTTACTCTAGAGTATTTTTGTTTACCTGGTATGCGTGTACATCTTTTCCAATAAGTTTTGTATTATTCCTGAGTAAGAGAAATAAGACAATTTGTAGGATGTAACAATAAAATCTTCTCGTAATACAGGCCTATAGTAGTGTATGAACAGAAAAAAAACAGCATGCTTCCTATTTGCTTTTGTTTTTTTGTTCTCATCCAGCATATGCCCAAATACATGGGGCTGCTGTTTGACATGCGGTTTTCTGTGCTGTTTTCACTGCTGATTTTCTTTCAGGATGACATAAATGATCTACAGTCAAACAACGACACAATAAAACACTGTTGTCGATTTGAACTAGGTTGGTTTCACCTTTATCCATAATTTCCTCATAGTATTGGTTCCGCTATTACTGTAAAATTTGTATTAGAAGCAGCAGCTTCTAATGAAATGGTACAATGCAACAGAGGTGATGCAGCTTCTAATAGAGCATCTCACACGTATGAGAAATGGTGAATGTTTGGCTCTCAATTGTTCAAAAAGAATGGGTATATTAGAGATGCTGCTTCTAATACAGATTTTATGGTATATCATCTCAAAATGACATCAAGGCAAAATCATTTTATAAAGTTTTTTTATGTTGATGGGTAAAACTGTTCAATTGCGTCTTATCTCAGCAGTGTTTGTTTGGTGAAAGTTGTCGTCTTAGGCATGTAGAGAAGGAAATTGTTTTCCCAACACTCTCAGAATGTTAAAGAAGCTAGGTATCATGTCATTTCCTTTGTCATGTAGCGCATATTCTATTATTACAGGTAACGCTGTTTCTCTTGTTCAGCAAACCACTTGCCATGTCTGCTTCTCTGATATGAACTTTCAATTTCACAGCACTCTCAAATATCCCAATCAAGATTTGATGCAATATGGCCATAATGTTAAATACCAATCCCTGGGGGGGGGGGGGGTGCTACGTCACAAGACGTTACACGTTGCTAAGACACGCACCACTGTACCATGTATTTCTGTGATTACTGCGTACGCTGAGCGCAGGGCTGGTGAAAATTTGAGAAAACAACAGGAACTCAACTTTGAAGTAATCCTGAACAATCAAATTTATATGCGTTACACACGCAGGGGTAATCTTGTTACACTGTTCAGGGGAGTCTCAACACCCATCCCAAAGTACTGTTTTCTGAGGGTTTTTGACCTTTGTTTTCACCATGATGGTTGTCAGGTGGTTATGATGTCCGCCCCGAGAATGATTGGCATTCTCATTTTGTAAGCATTCATTATTCAGTGTGTGATTGTTTTTTTTCAACTAAGGTATCTGTTTTTATCATCATGTATTTCGTTATTGAATGCAACTCATTCCAACTTAGCAGCCAATCAGCGACAGCCTTACAGTTAGAAAACAATTTTGGTTTCAAATACCACAGGAAAGTGTTCTATGTTCTTCATGTAATTAGGTGTTCATATGCAAGGATTTTTTCCACACAAAAACGCAGAATTCGGCCGAATTTTATTAGCGCTTGGCTTAATAATACTCCAATGAATCGTTTAGATGTTAAAGATTGGTATTTTTTTCCGGATTTGTAGGAATCTGAAATACTAGTCTTTTTTTTTTGTTTCATGTCATATGCAAGATGGCAGCCCCCATATAGTAAATATCGCACTTGTGTGCCAGCTGACTGATTGAATGTATTGTACAATTTTTAAAATGGAAAGAACAAACAGAATGAGTATCTTCTTCTAGTTGTTAAAGATGTGCTCTCATAATAACCTATTTGATAATATTAATTTGTTTCAGAAAGTAAAAATCAACTTGCCACCACCACAACAAAATGTGCCGGGTTAGATAAAATGATGGATGGTTATTATCTGAAGGCATTGGAAGGATTTATAATGGTTCTAACTGAAGAAGGAGATATGGCATTTCTTTCAGAAAATGTTGCGAAATATTTGGGCCTTACACAGGTTAGTGTCTGACCTCTTAGGGGTTGACCAATAAAAACTCACTGTTTTTGTCACAATATTTTTGCTAGGATTGTTTTTTTTTTTTGGTGGGCTTTTTTTTTTTTCATAGTTTTTATAGGTCCAGCTTTTACATTGATTTTCATTGTATAACACATTTGTGATGTTTAATTCATTCATACATTGAAATCCCAAGTCACTTATTTCTAGGTAATCTGTGTCTCTATTCTACTCAATACATACAGGTCTCATACCATCTATCAGATCTTGTAGCCATCATATGGTTGCTATCAGCCAATTGGCCTTTTTTATTCTGTGTTTGGTTCGTCTGAAACGCGATGTGCAAGGGGGTACTTCAATTACGTCAGCTGTTAGATTAATGTGTATAGCATTGTTTATTGACTAGTACCAGGGATCTGTGGATCCAGGAAACTCTATTTATTAGATACTACAAAACTGGCTGCTTTTCTGAGAATATTGAAGGTAGAATGCCTGACAAATCTGTGTTTGTTTACATTCATTTTATAAGGGTTTGAGCTGGAGAACATGCATTTTTCTGACTAGAATTCCATTATATACATGCATTAGTTATTGGGATGGGAGGGACCCACCTTTGTTCAAATCACTTGATCTCTGCAAAATTATTCAATGTCTACCTTTTTTTAGTTAATATACACAACACTTCTAATTTTGTTCATTCCATTGTATTTAACATGTGATTTATTCTGTAGCATAGTCAGATAACAAGCTTACACAACTTTTTTTTTTCTGATTGTTAAAATTTGTAACAGCCTGCACAAAATTACAATAAGTACTTTGATTTTATTTCATGAGCATTTATCACACACTTCATCTTAGTCTGCATGCTGCTGGATGATTAACTACTATGGATGCTCTTTGAAAATAAAAATAAAATGAAATATTAGATCATCATTCATACGAATATAATATTTCTGTATAATACAGATAAAGATTTTCACAAGATTGAAAAAATAAATTATTGTTATTTTAGAGGACTTATCATGCGCATATTCTCTTAAAATGAGCTCTATGTGCTTACATGAAAATCACAAGTACTAAACAAAAGAAAAACAAATTAAAAACTAGTAAAATTGACTACAAATGTAAAAACATGAGGGGAAAATAAGTCAAATATAGGCTAGTGAAACTAGCGTTCTACCTGCTCTTGATAATAAGACATTGGTGTGTTCTTGTGGCTTTGGTGACTTTTGAAAATTTGTATTATTGCCTTTTCAAACTTGCTTTCATACTACTGCAGCCACTGAAAAGATGTTCGCCACTGTAGTAGAAAATTACCATGACTGTCTCGCACTTTTCTGGTGGCTGATCCGAAGTTGAACATCAAAAAATGCCCTCTTCCTGTTCTGCCTAACTGTCGCCAGTAGAGATGACAACAAAGCTCATACGAGACAGCACAGTAACAAGCTATTGCAGGGTTACAATCAATTGATTGGACCTGCATGTGAAAATAATTTTGCATTATTAAAATGTCTGCTTCCAGGATATGGTATTCTACATTAACACAATCCCTGTATACATGTAGGTTTCAGCAACCTTAACTATGTCTTAATCTCTGTAACCTGTTTTTTGGACAATTTCACCAAACATTGTCATCTATAGAAATCTAATTAGTGGTTTGAGCCCTTACAAGAATATTTTTTTAAAAACAAGATGGCTGCCACTACTCTGGAACTTAGTATCATTTCGTTCGAAGAGGGTCAAATCTGAGCATTCATATTTTTGGACCAACTTGGATCGGCCATTCACCGAAGAATATCCACTTTTGATCAACTTAAATGGCACCGCTGACCATTTATTTTTTACTCATTACTTGCTGTGTATTTTCAGGTTGACTTGGCTGGCCACAGTATCTATGATTACACCCATCCATGTGATCATGAAGAAATCCGAGAACAGCTGTCAGATAAACCAGGACTACCTCTATCCTCTAAGAAGAAGAAAGACAATCTCTCTTTCCTCATTCGCATGAAATGTACACTAACAGCAAAAGGGAGAAACGTTAATTTGAAGTCGGCTACATACAAGGTAACTTTGTTTGTTCTCGCTATGTTCTAACTCAGTGACGTTTGACCAGGTGCAGTATCAGCTGTTAACATCAAACAACATTTGAAATACCAAACATGTCAAGCTTATGTGTGAGTCTAGGGTACTTTTGACAAATATCAATATGTCGGAACTCTTGGATCAATCCCCAAAGTGTCTACACACATGTTCTAGATCAATACTCAGAATCCTGGATCAATCCCCAAAGTGTCTACACACATGTTCTAGATCAATACAGAGATTCCTGGATCAATTCAGAGTGTCTACACACATGTTCTAGATCAATACTCGGAATCTTGGATCAATCCAGCGTGTCTACACACATGTTCTAGATCAATACACAGAATCCTGGATCAATCCAAAGTGTCTACACACATGTTCTAGATCAATACACAGAATCCTGGATCAATCCAAAGTGTCTACACGCATGTTCTAGATCAATACACAGAATCCTGGATCAATCCAGTGTCTACACACGTGTTCTAGATCAATACACAGAATCCTGGATCAATCCAGAGTGTCTACACACATGTTCTAGATCAATACACAGAATCCTGGATCAATCCAAAGTGTCTACATGCATGTTCTAGATCAATACACAGAATCCAGGATCGATTTCTGTCTTAAATAGAATGATTTGTTTATTTATTCAATGAACCCACTTTAATCAGTTAACAATACTCTTAAAATGGCTAGCACCTGTCTTTTTGTTTAGTCCCCCCCCCCCCTGCAAACAGTACTTTGATATTTGATTGTTGATTATTTTAGTTTAAAGTCCATTGATCATGATAGATATGCTTTTGCAAAGCTAACCCCTCGGCAATAGTTCATGATGACAAAAGCTTGAATCTGTTTACTCAGACCGGGAAAGTAATGGGTACTGTCAACACACTATTTTAATCTATATAAGGGTATAGATTTTATTAGCAGATTTCAGTAAATATTATTCTAAAACATTATAGTTTGGATTATTTTTTGGATTATTATTATATAACAGTAATTTCACCATTTGCTAAAAAATATTGTATAGAGTTTGCACGAGTTTGGGTTACTAACATTACAAACAATAGACAGATAGTCTTCAGTATAAAATGTGATGGTTGCATGTGCACTTTTGGGAAGAGGACAAAAAGTCACTGACCTACAAAAGGTCTTCAGTGAATTATGAGCCATCACAGCAGTCATTAGTCGCAAATACTGAGATAGCTTAATAAGATATTAGAATTTTATAGATCTGTGAATCTGATCACGGCATATCATTTTATCAGTAATAAAAAAAAACACTAAACACTGCATTTTAATTTCACTATTTTCACTGAATAAAATCATTCTACTAGTCTAAGGGTGTTTTGTTGGGTTGATAAAACTGTTTATATTACGACTGATGCGTGTAATACTGATAATAATAATTATAAAATAATCAGTTTCTATTATTATTACTGGTAATAAAACCACCTGTCATGATGTAAATGCTTCACAACAGTTAAATGACCATTTTTCTCTCCGAGATTTCGAGCAAATACACAGTGGATTAAAATGAATAAAAAGAACACATTAGAGAGTGTGTTTCTTGTATCTGCTGCAACAATAACTACATGACCAACATGTCTAACCAGGACTTGAACTTTGAATTACGAGGGCTCTTGTTTTCAAGCCAAACAAATTGCATTCATGGCCTCCGTGAATTTTAAAGCCTTGTGTCTTGTGCCACTGATAATATTGACCTGTTTGTCTCAATATTATTCTAGGTAATACAGTGTTGTGGTCATATGAAGACGACAGAAGCCATACAGGATGTCAGTTTAATGGGATATAAAACTCCAGCCACAACGTGCCTTGTGGTGGTGGGTGAACCAATACCCCACCCAGCTAATATAGAAATACCATTGGACAGTCAGACTTTCTTATCAAGGCATTCAATGGACATGAAATTTACTTTTGTGGATGACAGGTAAGATATCACTAGCGATGCTTACCAAGTTGCTCTGATTACTATTGTAGTATGCTGCATTATTTGCTGGGCATATTAAAACTGTTGAGATTAACTCAATAATGGATTGTGAACTTGTCCAAAGAGGCGTAAATTTGGGAAAATTGATAATGAGCAACTACCCTATACCTATGACATCACAAAATATCACTATTGTACTTGATCAAGGGGGAGGGGGTTTATATGAATTCAAAATTGCAGTTTACTTTTCACATTAGTCAAGTTGTAGGCAAGATAAACATTGTTGTTGGTATTATTCATGAGAGTTTTAAACTTATTGACAGTGAACTGTTCAATATTACCTTAGTCAAAAGTTAGGTCACTTGTAAATATTGGTATGGCATCCTTGTTGCAAGAGTGAAGTCTTAATTTATAGAGGGCGTTTATTTGTGGGGGTGATGCTGAGGTAATTAGATAAAGGTTATGTTGAAGAGGTACTTCAATAACCGATATAGTTGCTGCACTGTATACTTCAAACAATATCAGTACTGTTCAGACAGAACAAAGGTCACCGACACATTGTGTGTATTCAGTATGACTGTTATATCTTTGTATTGCTCCTTATTTTTTCATGCTTGGTACCAAGTTACTGTAAAATGACTAATTTTCACTGGGTTTAAATTTCACTGATTTACCAATTCAGGCATATTAAGTGGGTTTTAAATTCACAGTTTTATCATTTAGATAATGTGTTCTATGCTAAATTGTTCATATTCACTGGGTTTTAATTAAGCGCATTTTCCAGTCAGCGAAATAAGCGAAATTAAAACCCAGTGAATAATTAATCCTTTTACAGTAAGTAATTAGTCCTCACTTGTAAACAGGGACTTCATAGATTTGCCTCTTGCCGTACATCGGCACCTCAGACATGCGCCTCTTGCCGTACATCGTCACCTCAGACATGCGCCTCTTGCCGTACGTCGGCACCTCAGACATGCGCCTCTTGCCGTACATCGGCACCTCAGACATGCGCCTCTTGCCGTACATCAGCACCTCAGACATGCGCCTCTTGCCGTACATCGGCACCTCAGACATGCCTTGGCCAATCCCCTTCAAACTTGACACATATATCATATTACATATACTTTTGTTCCACAAATCGAATCAGATCAGGATGATCAGTTTAGTGCTAGAAATGCACCATGATCAAACATTTCTGCCATTTCAAACTGATCCTCTGTCTATTTGAACGTTTTTTGTTGCTTAAAAGTTGGTTTGATGTTACTAAGCGTGTTATGGTGTCAATTTCACCTCAGATAGTGTAATATCAGTGTTTTTTTAAGCAAATTTAATTTCTTATGACTGTTTGGAGCATAGATTCACTTGGTGACACTCTGGATATTTATTTTATTCCAGTTCTGTTTTACGTCTCATTTAGTTCAGTTTTGTTGTGGTCAAGCTTCAAGTCTTACAGCCGTTCTGAGAATTATTCGGACAGTCAGTTAGCAATATATCTTGCAACTTTGCAAAGCACTTTGAGTTTTTGTCCAATCTAGACTTGATGCGCCGTTGTATTGCCACACTAAAAATTTGAATCATTCCATTTTCTTGCTAGATGAAGGTAAAACACTGTTTTTTCAAAACGACACGCATTGGTTACCATACATTAACAGGTTATATGTTGTATATGCATTCAAAATGTTATTTTAAATTGTTATGACCATCTGAGTCCACCTGACATAGCGCAATTTGTGTTACTTACCCCAATTGTGTTGAGTGTTCAGTAAATTACTGAAAATAAATATAAAAAATAAATAATGGTTGTTGTATACGCATGGTAGATAATACTTACAATTCACCATGCCGGTCAATCAAGTGTCGCCAACAAGTCTAGATTGGGCAAAGACCAAAGTGTTTTGCAAAGTTGCAAGACATCTTGCTAACTAACTGTCTGAATAATTCACAGAACGGCTGTAAGTAAAACTTGACTGTGACTGGCTGAATTTTTGGTTGCATGATTTCTTAAACTTCTCACGGATTTATTGCTTACTTGATTACTAAAATAATGAAAATGTGTTAAGTTTAGTACATACAACTGTATCTATAGTTTTGCTCGTGAAAATATTTGAAGAACAAACATTTGTGAAGTCAAATCAATCCTCTGTACATATGTACACACATGCACATGCACACACGTGGGGAACTGATACTAATGTGTGCCAGGCTGCCTAGCAACCACATTAATTGATTCTCTCCTCCACTGCACATTAATAATGCATTCAGAATTCAAACAATAAAGTCATTTGTCATTTCTTTTTGCTTTAGAATTCATGAAATAACTGGATATCAAGTTAGTGACTTGATTGGTAAATCTGCATATGATTTCTGTCATGCCCTAGACACCGACAAAATAGAGAAAAGTTACCACGACTGTAAGTGTTGACGTCATTATGATGTAATCAGTGTTGTGAATAAATGATATTGAAAGCTGAACTATGTTCTTTTTATTTAAATTCTATCTAGATAAATGGAAATACGACGTTGCTTTGTGTAAAAAGAAAAAAATCTGTCAAAATTTTTCCAACCATCTTTTGGTGCATTCATATACTTGCATTGAAAATGTGTTTCATTTTTCTACCTGATATGTTTATGACTTGAAAACTTGAATTACATCAAATCAATTTCATAAAGTCCCTGTGTAAAGCAAGAACCCATAGCAAGCAAAATTTTGCCAAATAAAAAAAAAGAAAGACTTAGTTTATATACCCTATATGGGTTTTTCTGTGCACAGTGTATGCCAAGGGACAGACATCCACAGGACAATATAGATTCCTGGCCAAGAAGGGCGGATATGTATGGGTACAGACACAAGCCACAGTAATATATAACAATAGAACATCCAAACCACAGTGTATAGTTAGTGTGAATTACGTGCTAAGGTAAGTGTACGAGTATTCTTGTTATCTTCCAGATGCCTGGGTTCACTGTATGTCTTCACAGTTACTTGTCATCTTTATTAACATTACTCGCCTATAGTCACGTTCTTTAGATCGGCTCGCATTACAACCGCAAGATTAATGTGCTCTGACACTATGCGATAGGCCAAAATCTGACCGTGTTAATGGAATCACTTGTGTAATACACATTGTATTCTATTCCGCCTGGATTAATTAGACAGCAATGTTGTCTGAACTGTTTTGTTGTATCATGTTAGTTCATAATCTTGTAATTAGACCCCATGGACACAAATATGCCGGAATGGAGGTTTATACCTGCGAGTGCCATATCGCAGACATGCGATAAGTAGAACACACGTTTTTGAGTGAAAAAGATGCCTGTTACTACTAATGCATTGACTAATTTCATTCTGACTTCACATGTATACATAGCACATAACATATACTTATAGACGCAATTTCACAGCCAAAGTATCGTTTGGGGTCAAAATTTTTTGGTCACAAAATATGGTGAAAATGATATTTTTGCCTGTTCTTGGTAATGCATTGACCAATTTCATTCAAACTTTACATATACATATGTACCTTTACATATAGGTAGAATACATTACTTACATTGATAGTCTCACTTTTACAACCAAAGTCTCTCAAGAGTGTCTTTTGGGGACATGTGTCATTTTTCGTCCAAAAAATTGGTGAAAAATGTCACTTTTTGAGCCAAAAAACATAATCAACATATGCAGGTTAGAAAGCAAAAAGCATTCATACACATTAGTGATACACATGTAATTTCGTGAAAATCAGACAAAGTGATTCAGAGTTATCATGCAACACACACTTTCAGCCTGTCCTGACCCAAAAAAAACATACTTGACATACATTGATCCAAAAACTGAAAAAAATTGAAAGTTTATGCAAGGGCTTCTTTCATTTACTGTATGACTTGTTTTGAGCTCAGCACTCAGAATACAATCTTTTAATACCAGACTTTGTACCATCCTATTTTGTGATTAATCATTTCCTCATTTTTTTCTCTAAGCAGTGGCGTTGAAAAAGAAGATTTAGTTTTGTCCACTGAACAGCAGATGAAAGGGTTGCCCAAGTCCAAGCAACTTCAATATCTGACATGAAATTGAGTACAGAGAAGATATTCTCTCCACATACCACTGACAAGAAAGCTAATTTCTGGAGCTGTTCGGGTGATAACAAACTAAATAGTGAGTTTGAAATAAGGTTGTAACTTGAATATAAATGTGATGACATGTATATAGAGGTCACAGCTGGTTTAGTTGTGGTTGGGATGATGATAGACTGTGTTACTGTTATCAACACCATAGAGTGATGTTTGCGATGACAGATTAGAATAAGTGAGAATTAAGCTACGAGGGAAAACGCACGTCTGCTTAAAGGCTTGTAGCAGTGCAGATTTACTATTATGGTTGGTATTTTTGTATCAGCATCTGTCGTCATGTCTTAATACCTCTGCTGTATCTTTCAGTGTGGACCGCTGATGCGGAGGACCTGCTGTGTGTTGCGCCTGCTGCCGGTGACACCATGATTCCATTACCGTTCCCTGATGGTGAGTCTATTCACACCACACTCTATGTAGTGTTTCTTACAATACATTTGCTAATTAAAATGAATCCAAACATGATTCGTCCATGTTAAAACATTGTAGAAATCTCTCTATATAGCATGGCACCAATAACAAATTCTGGTGATTACAATAGTTATTGTTCTTTCACAGAATTTGTTTATTTTTTGTTTATTTTAGAGACTGGTTTGCCACATATACTATATTTTTCTTAGCTATTCACATTACTGATAGTCCTTCAGTGTCAATTTCACATTTTTCTTTTTAAAAACTATCGACTGTAAGGGTTTTATACTCAAAAGTACCGGGGGTGGTTTTCTCTCTATATTTGTTCATTGCTCTCATTTTATTAGTGAATATTTTTGTTAAATGTTTTTTTTATTTTTTACGACTTCTTGAAAATGTCTAGCCAAGTGCTTTGATATTTTATATGTAGACACCTAGGGGTGGACCTCAGTCAGATTTGATTTGTTATGTTATGTTTGTGACAATACCTTCAATTCTCTCATTTTAGTCAATATTTTTGTCATTTTTGGTGTCATTAGTCATTTAGGCTGTTTTTGATGATTGCCTTGTTATTGTAGTCAGATTTGTTATTTTTTGGACAATAACTTCAATACTCTATTTTATTTAGTGTTGATAACAGCAGAAGTAAATCAGATAACAGCTTGCTTGTTAAGATGTTCATTTCAGTTTGTACTGTTTTGCTATTTTTCTTTCTTTTTTTGTGTTACAGATTTATCTCAAATGAAAAATGGGGTACCAAGTGCCATGGATATGAATATTTACGACGATGTTTTATTTCCGCCAGATCATTCAACGCCAAATTTCACTGGGTTTGATCCATTTACATGTACCCCTGTCACAATAGGGTGCTTCAATAGTGATAAGAAGCAGGAACAGCAGTCTCAACTACAGAAAGAACCTGCAAAACAAACAACAGTGGCGGCGGCGCCAACCACAACAACAGATGAAGCCACAAACAAATGTGTTTTCAGTCAGTATCGTGGTAGTGCATCATTGGCGTCTCCACTCAGTATAAGTCCAGATTTGACTCCAAAGGTGAGTGCTTGTTTAAAGGTTTCCATTTGGGGGGGGGGGGTGTTATTCTATTCACATGCCACCCAAACATGTTTTTATTCTTGGTTCCCCTTCCCCATTTTTTAACATTATGGCGTTAAACTGTTTTTCTTTCACAATACAACAACAACAACAATCTCCTCCCAGTGGATCAGATAAAACACTTCCATGTGGTCACATTTTCAAGGTTTTGGCAGCTGAAATTCATTTGGCTGGGCTTTAATGTGAAATTTTGTCCTATACACCAGCTGTTTGCTTCATGAAAGAGGTGTTTGACAATGCCATGGTAATCAAGTAACATATACAATAATAATGTAATAATAAGTACAATAAGTAATGAAACTCGCAATCACTGTTCAATCATGTTATATATTTCAAGACAGTGTATGAACAATATTTATGTAATTCCTATGCACATATCAAATTTGGTCAATGACTGTCAGTGTTGTCTTTGCCTGTCAATATTTACTTTTGTTTTCTACTTTTACTTGATTCAGCCAAGCCCGAGTCCTGGAAGTCCAGTTGATTACAAGAACACAGACCAACCAGTTGACTCTGAAATGGTTGATAAAGTTTCGTTGTTATTGTCTGAACCACAAAATGAGCTAGTAAGTTAGTTTGTTAATTATTGATAACCATAAAGCTACCAATTTCAAAAAGACTTCTAGTAGACTTGTCTACTATATGACAAACAAGGCATTCCAGGTCTGAATGAACTTATTGATAAAGACTATTATTATACATCTGTTACCATAACGCCATAAGTTACAGCGTGTCGTAATTTTGTGATATTTTACAGGGTATTTTCATCCTACCATATTAGGAAATGCGAATTCCAAATATGGAATGATTACGCGCGTAAGCGCCCTCTAATAATAAAAACAAACATGGCTGCCACTAGGGTTTGACCGGATTCCACACAAAGAAGTTCGCTGATTCTGTTCTAAACTTTGTAGATTTCGGCATTCCCATGATTCGATACTTCGCTGTACTGTCTTCGTGCATACTTTGAGGTATCTTCGTAATAACTTCATAGTATTCTTATATTACAATGTGATACAAGAATTGAAGTGAGTTAGTAGTGAATCATATATGTACAGCCCTTGCTGAATAGTCAGTCATTGCTGTTCCTCTTCATGAAGTCCTTGCTGTCTATCCATTTGCACCCCGAAGTGCATCAACAGTTAGTTAGCCTTCATAACATTTATTTAGTTGCAGAATTTAGCATTCAATTTTTTTGTAATTTTATAAGGTAACCTTTATCCTGTTTATTTGTCTTTTACTCACTGTGCCCCCCTCCCTCCCCCATATGTAACGGGATCTTATTCAGAACAAACTTACTGACAGTGAAGTCGCACAAGAATTATGCATGTGTGACTCACTTTTTTGGGGGGTTATGAATCTCTTCCAGGATATATCCACAGAAGAACTCGTAATGCGAGCTCCATATATTCCAATGGTTGGTGAAGATTTCTGTTTGTACAATGGTAAAATAATGAACGACCCTGTATTAAGCAGTGCAGCGTTACCGTCGCCACCCCATCTACCGTCATTTACAGGGTCATCGTCCCAGAGAGTTATTTATAGCCCGGTTGGAAGAGGAACACCAAGTCCATCGTAAGTGTTTAAACTCAATAGCAGTTTTATAAAGAATTATATGATTTCAGTTAGGATATTATGATACTTTGATAATTTGATATCTAGACATTTTGATTAAGGGAACTGATCATTACCACCCAGCCGGTTTCCTGTGAGTTTGACTCGGTTTACCGTACCGGTCGTTGCTTTCCCGTACCGGTCATTGCTTTACCGTACCGACCGTTGCGTTACCGTACCGACCGTTGCGTTACCGTACCGGCCGGTGCTTTACTGTACCGGCTGGACAATTACCGTACTGATAGGACCAATACCGACTATTTATCACATTCGATTAATGAATGCATGGTAAACAAAGCCCCGGTAACTGATCGGCGCCCTGCCGGTAACCGTGATATAAAACGACAGTCCTAAATCGTAGCTTACCCACAACGTTGAATAAAACGTCTCAACCTGTCGCATGAATTCGATGATACTTGCATAATCTGTCAGCGTGACTCGCTTGGCCGAGCTCACATGTATTTAAATTCGGGCTTGGGCGTTCGAAAATCTGTTTT